TCGGCCGGCGGGGAGCAGCGAGGGCCACGGCCCTGCCGCACCCACCACGACGCGTCTCAGGCCCTCCCACGTCCCGGTGTCACCGAGCGTCACACAGTGTCACCAACCACAGGGGAAGGCAAAAGTTGGAAATGGGAGACAGGAATCCTGGCTGTTCCAGAAGAGCTGGATGGAAACACGTTTCCTAGGACCAACCTTGCCAGTCTATCACCAGGGCAGCGCGTCCGCGTCCAGCTCCAAGGCGCAAGCGCGAGCCCGGAGCCGCTCTCTGCGAGCAACGAGCCAGCAGGACAGCAGGACTTCTTGCAACGCTCCCGGTTCTGCAAAACCTGGGTAACGTCCTCCCCGTCGCAGCACCCGCGTTTTAGACCCCAAAGAAGCCTACAAGCCCGCAAGTTTTCCCGGGCGCTCTCGGACGTCGAAGAGCACGACTATTTCTGCAGCCCCTAAGGAACGCTGTGGGCGCTGCACATCCAGCTCTGATCCCAGGACACGGCTCACGCGGAGGGATTACGCCCAGGCACAAGTCCGGATGATTCAGCAGGGCCTGGGAACGCACTGGAACTGCTGGAGCAAATCCCCACGTTCACTCCAGCTCCACCTCAACCACAGAGCCCAGCAGAGCAAACCCACGGCTGCATCCGGCTCCTTATAGGAGACTCACGGGAGCATTAAAATAACTCTGTTACCCAAACAAGTTCCACATCCTCTTAGGGAACTGGAGAACGATGTTTCCTTACTATTTTTGGCCACGTGCATACAGGAAAAGCTGACTGGAAGAGCCGTTTCCCCATGATTTCAACGGGGATACAAACAGTGACTCCCTTGGCATGATCCTGCCAGCGAGAGAATCTCAGGGAGCTCCTGACCGCTTGGATTCCTGCCTCTGGAATCCAAAATACCCGGGCAAAGCACTGGCACCGCTCACAACCCCCTCACGTGTCCGGGCCTACAGAAAGAGAAGCAGAGGTGCAAAGGAGTCGGTGACACGATGAAGGTCCAGCAGCTCCAGTGAAATCCATACGGTCAACTTAAAAGGGAAAACTGGACCTGGGCATTTTCAGAAATATTCCAGATTTGCATTAAGATGAAATCGAGCCTCCTATTGGAAAAAAAAATCTATATATCTGAAAAAGCGGGCAGAATAAGGATTTGAACTTAGGTTTCCAACACTGAGGTGACCACAGGGATCACTGGTTATTTTGGATGTGCCTCACCTGACCCTCTGGGACCTGACAGTTTTTCCCGGTGGGAACCTCAGCACCTCCAGCTCGTTTCAGAATAAAGGTTGTCTTAACAGGCCACCAAACAACAGTCCCTCTCAGCTCCAGCAGGAAGCTGCACGTGCCCTTTTAACCCACCGCGGCCGCTTCCGTCTCCATCCCGCATCTCCACGGTGGGGCCCAACCTGCACGTTGTCGTTTTTGCTGTGTAGAATTCCAGGGTTTCTCTCCAAACCAGGGACACCATGGACCCCGCGCCTCCGAGCGGGACGGCTGCAGGGGCACCCCGGGCACCGCCGCACACGCTGCAGGAAGCGCCCCAACATGTGCCTGCATTTCGGAGCCCTCCAGAGAGCCAGGTTGGAAAATCTGACCCAAATGACCTCAGACTATTCAAGAAGCATCAAGATCTGAAAGGAGAGAGGGTTTTCCAGATACTATCATTACAGCTGGGAAGTTAAGAGCGTTTGAAAAAGTTATACTGACACTATGCTGTGTCGTGAAACATTCTGCTCTGCATCCCTCCTACAATTGAGCAGGACTCCACCAAATGACATCTAAAAATCATTTATTTTGGGGAAGAGGCATTTTGCAATCCCCTTGACCAAAAGGCTTCACGAGGGCTCCATTCTACCCCGAATGCTGCTTTAACAAAGCTTGCAAAGCACTCTGCTAATGCAAGTGCATTTCATGCTATAGAATAGAAAAAAAAACACCAATTCTTCTACAGGAAAATCCTGCTAATACTCACTATGAAAGCTGATTTCGCTTGTTCCTCAGAGCTGGAGAGGACACCACAACTATAACCAGTAGCACATGCCTGAACGATGATGTTGTTTGAAGAGCAGGTTGCTCTGCAGCCCCTGCAAGGAGCCAGCCTGGCACATCTGTGGCCACCAGCCACTGCAACTGCTCCTGTTACGGAGCAGGGGCACCAGGAGAAACCACTCACTAAAGAAACCCCTCGAGAACTTCCTAGGAACGGAGCAGGGCAGGGATGCTGGCAGCAGTCGACCTTGCAGCCCTGCAGCATCGCTGCACTCGACCGAAACGGCACACGAGGCCCCGCTGCACGAGGGAAGCCAAGAAGCAGTTGTCATGTTTGTCCCTCTAAGAGCACCTGTGGGTTTTCAGTCCGTAATTCAAGATGGACTTGATGATACGTCCTCCAAAACACAAGACGTGCTGCACAACATTGATCTGCCAGCAGGCAACACGCTAGAGAAAAGGGGACAACAGATCAGCCTTCATAGAATCATAAAATCATAGAATGCTTAGGGTTGGAAGGGACCTCTAGAGATCATCCAGTCCAACCCCTGCACACGCAGGGTCACCTAGAGCACATGGCACAGGACTGCGTCCAAGCGGGTTTGAAGATCTCCAGAGAAGGAGACTCCACAACCTCTCTGGGCAGCCTGTTCCAGGGCTCTGGCACCCTCACTGGGAAGAAATTTTTCCTTAAGTTCCTATGGAATTTTTGGTGCTTTAGTTTCCGGCCATTTCCTCTAGTCCTATCAGTGGCCACCACTGAAAAGAGACCATCACCGTCCTCTGCACTCCCTCCCTTGAGGTACTTCTAGACACTGCTCAGGTCCCCTCTCAGCCTTCTCTTCTCCAGGCTGAACAGGCCCAGCTCCCTCAGCCTCTCCTCATAGGGCAGATGTTCCAGGCCCCTGATCATCCTCGTAGCCCTGCGCTGGACTCTCTCCAGCAGCTCCACATCCCTCTTGTACTGTGGAGCCCAGAACTGGACACAATACTGCAGATGCGGCCTCACCAGGGCTGAGTAGAGGATCAGCACGGGGGCTCACGACAAATCCCTTTCATTGCGCGGATCGTTGGAAGTTCGTGTCTCCAGTGCCAGCGACAGCAGAACGGCTGCACAAACTCGAGATTCCCCTTGTATACAGCAAACCACATCGCTGCTTGGCCAAGTATCTCAGACATTGCAGCAAAGGAAAATCAACCCTCTACCCGCAGCAACAGCTACACGAAGCATTAGGGTGCAGTACGACTGTTAGTGACGAATTTGAAGCATCACCCCCGAGGTTTATCGGAGGACAACGTGCTCTGAGCATATTTATCACGTCCTCCAAAACCCCGGTGCAGCTCTGTAACAACCTGGGTGGTTTTTATTGTGTTAGGCAGTTACATAATGGTAGATGATTCAGATATCGCTATCAGATCGTGTGCGCAGATCATTAGACAATTATTTACCTAAGCACGGTTCGTTATCTCAGCCGCCCTCCCCAGGCTGGAAGAAGAATCGATTTCAGTTGTAAACTCACAGCGAAATAATCACAATTTTGGTATACTTCTAAAGGTCTGCACGGAGAAACGACGAGACTGTGATACTTAGAGCATATCCCTAAGCAGCACTGCAAAGACTATATTTAGAAGCTGAACAAAAACAAGGGATCAAATTTAATTCAGGAAATTTAAGAAAGTCTAAGTGTGCGCACAGGAGTGAAACTTGCTTTCCCCGCCCCAAATGTTTAAAAACATGAGCAGGGGAGTGTTTGCGAGACGGCATGCACGCGGAGGGGAAGGGTTACCTCTCTGGAGCAGCTGTGCCCATCTGCCCGCTGGTAAAAGCCACCGTTTCGTCACCATGTCAGCACGGAGAGCTGCAAACCGAGGCAATCTGCAAGAGAACACGGCATGAATTCCCACTGCGGTGCTGAGGGCCAGATATTTATGCTGCTGGAGACCTGGGACGGATCCAGCTCCAGCTCTGAAATTTAAACACAAGCTCCCTCCACCACGTGCCCAAACCATTGGCCGGGGCGGCTCCCCACGCGCAATCCCGGACGCGTCCGGGAGCCTTTCCCAGTTGGCACAAACCAGGAGTCACTTCCAGGCATCCCAGAGGGGATGTCTGCACCCCCGATCCGCCTCTAAGCTGCAGATCTTCATTACATTCCCTTTATATCAGCAGCATTTACAGGCTGACTGCGCTGGACTTCACAACAACGCGTGACACTGAGGCACGGATCATACTGAAAAGCTCTGTTACGGCCATAAGGTTATTGGTTTCACACACTTAATTCACCCTGAAGAGGCTGCAAGCAGCTTCCTGCAGCTTTAACTTCCCTCTTAGATGCCTCAAACTTCCCAGTCCAGCAGGGAATTCATTCCCGCTGCTTTCCCTGCTAACTCTGTAAATGGCATCGCACTGATTTCCAGCACGGGAGAGCGGTAAGAGAGCAGCGCCGGGGAAGGAAAACAGCTCCCGAGGGCTTGAACGAGAGGACCCGCAGAAAACACGCTCTATTTTTAGACGCAGTTATGCAGCCTAACTGGACTAACGTATTAGACAATCGTCCCCGCTCCCCACGTGGAAAGGGGTTTTTCTAATACCTCAGACAAAGCTTTTTCCATTAACTTCCCTGGCAGAGAGCAGTAATTAACTCATTGCATCTCCACCGGCAGCAAAGCCCGTCCCGGGCTCCATAAGGAGCTCCCGGAGGGGACGCGAACTTACCGGCTCCGAGCTCCCTGCCAGGACGTGTCCCCGCGCCACCGCGGCGCCCGCGGGCCGGCCAGCGCCACGCCCCCGAAAAACC